TACGACCACATGAGTTTCCTGATACGTTAGACTGCCGCTAGATGTAACGTGCCAGAGCCCTTAGTGAGTTCAATTTGAGCATAAGGTGTTGCTCTTTCACTAGTTTTGAGAACTGCATGAAGTTTAGTTTCAAAAGGAAGAATACATTGTACCCTCTCACATAGTGCACAGAAAAGGAGATGAAAATGGAGCGACTCGGAAAAAAGTGGATATGACCGCGCGCGCACGCGGTCCTCATAATTTTGGACCACCCTGTAGACAAATAATGTATCCTCCCTTAGTGCTCATCAGTAACTGGAAGGAGTAGAGGTTTGAAGTTTATATTTAATTGTAGTAAATTATTTATATGTATAAAATTTTTTTACATAAAATCTTTCATATAATTGACTCACATTTGGATTTGAAATACTTCTAGGTGAACTTCTGTAGGTGGCCTCTTCATACATGTGCAGTTCGGTGCGTACGCAGTAGACTGGTATAGTATAAAAGATTGATGAAAGAAAGAAATAAACTTCATGATTATCATTTTCATTGTATACAATATTAATGAACAAATCGGGAAATTTCCAAGCGGAAATTAATGAATCTAATCTTGAAGTTGTTCGTCCTTGTTGCGATAATTTGTGATCACCTTGTACATACAGACCTACACATATGTCAAGGCGTGTGCACTGAGAAATTACAAGACCTTTCCGTTTGACCTTATTCGTGTAAGCATCGCCTATATGATGTTTTACACATATGATCTATAATACTTTTTTCGCGCTTTTTTTCATTCCTCATCCATTCGATTTCAGGCTCCCATGCGACGGTGCTGGCTGATTCTTGTTGCACTCTGTGTTCTCCTTATTGTGGTGTTCTTCAATGAGGTGAAGAATGACGCCTGGACTAAAAAATATCTTAGAACTGAGGTACTTGCCGGGAGTAAATGGAGAATTTTGATACCTTCTGTACCAGATATAGTAGTATGTGCAGCAGATTTCAGATAAACTGCTCCCAACTGCTAGAGTCGAGTTCTCCTCCATTCCAAGCATTTCTGATCGACACATATATCCTGGAAAACCTTGGAGAAAACAAATGCCAAGCAAAACAAAAAATTCGGCTCGCAATTGATGTGGGACTTTTGAATTCAATCGGCAAAGAAAACTACAAGGAATACGACATCATAGGCTATGAGAGACCTCTGCGTAAGGACTACTTCATCGTTCACGACAACGATACTAGAATTATACCACGGTAAGAATTTAAGCCGTTCTTGGTACAAGCCCGCGGTGCTGAGAAAGAGCAGTCATATTATGTATTCAAAATTCCAGAATTTCCCTTGATGTAAAAGGGAATATATCTATACCCCATGACAGGAAAAGGTTTCTCGAAATTTGGAAAAGATCGAAATTCGTTCGCTGTCTGGGAATAAATGTGGAGAGAACGTCAAATACGCCTTATCTCCCGGTGAACAAAACTATCCGAACAATGACGTCTTTAATGAGTTATCTCATCTCTTTCGATGTTTATCCGTTCCTTTGTTTTGGAACTTTGTTAGGTGAGTTAGAAAAACGAAATACGGAGTACAAAAAACTTAGTATTAAAGTTGCACGTATCCTGATAAAAAACTCACACTTATCCTTTCCCTCCAGTTTTAGTGAATTGTTTTAAGATTTCCAATTATACTGTAGGAATTCGTTATTCTTAACCCGCTGACTACATCGCGTGTTTTGGGTTCTTTGCACCGCGTGGGACAAGGGCGCTTTTGCGAGCCGCATGCGGACAAGGCGCTTTTGCGAGCGCTGCCCCGCCACAACCAAATCCAGGATTATTGAGCAATTGAATGCGCAATATCCTAGATGCACATAATGTTTCATTAAATGCTTGATCTGTATAACTTATGGGAGCTTACTAGACTACGAATTTCGCTTGCATGAACTCCAGAAAATAAGCTTACAACAGTAGCTAAGTAGGGGTTATGTAATATGGCGTCGCCCTCCAAGACCTGCCTGTGCTGACCTAAGAAATTGCTGCTCTACCTCTTCCTGAGTTTCGCCAGAGGAATTTGACTACAAATACATCATAATAAGTGTGGCTGAATTAATTTCTCTCTAAAAGCTATACTCTTGGAAGCAGTATCTGGAATTTGAACAAATCTAAAGTTATTTGTATTCTAAATTTCTATTGAAGTGTGCGCAATGTTGTCGTTCTTTCTATTCCACGACCACAAAGTACCTACCAAATTGAGCGGCAGCACAAAATATTAGGGTGTTCAAGAAGATTCGAGTTCTTTTTCAAGGTTTACCGAACTGACTCAGCACTAACAAACCACTTATATTTTTCTTTTTTCAACTGCTGTTCGGCCGCTAGTTCGGCCTAAATTATGAAACAAACAGTTAAAATTATTGTTAAACCTCTAGTGCTCGCTGTGGATTGCCTATTGCTCCACACTCATACGTATAGTGCTGCATAATTAATGATGTATACACAAAAGCTGAGTTGGCGGTAAACATGTCAATTATTATTGTGATTATCTTGACCTGTGAGCGAGAGGTGCAGGTTCAAGTCCCAACTGAAACGGAAGTTTTGTTCATAATCCGATATTCTTTTCAAACTTCAACCAGTAAATATGGCCATTCCAGAATCATTCTATCTTTTGAATAGTGGATGGAATCAGAGTCAAGAGCCCAACAACTTAAAGGCAAAAGTCAGGCTCGTGTTTCGGCATTATGGCACCTGATATTGAGTTTAGAGATGGGAGGTGGAACGATAGTGAAGAAAAAACGAAAAAAACTGTCGACAACACCTAAATAAAACCCATTCCTTCTAGCAGTGAAGGAGATTTGCTCGGGGGAGAGTCACGTCCAAACGAGTTTTCTGGATATGCCAGCCGTTCCATCGGTTGATACGGCAATCAACTCAGCTGATCTCACACGTTAGGCCAGCCACGCACCACATCCACACGTGGCGCTGAAATTCTGGACAAGGGCGGGGCCAAACGGGGCCCGGGGCCATCAACAAATCAAGGCCTAGCGCCTTTGCGCGCAGGACTTCCTCATGTTCCTTAATACTGATCGTGCTTAAATACAGTTCAATGAAATCGAAACGAGAGGAATTCGTATTAAATCGTAGTTGTTGGACGATGGTTATCCAGACTAATTTTGACGATTTTTGGTAATCTGGAAAGAACTGTAACTAATAAACAGAATCATGTTGTTTATAACATATGGCAACCTTCCCCGGCAGTTGAAAGGGAAATTTAGACAGCTAATATTTTCCACAGCTTCAAAACTAGAATAGCAGCCTGTGGAGCAGCGAGTGGAGTAATGATAACATCGTGTGTCTTTGTTTCATAATCAATATTCTTTTTGAGCATTTAGTCAGGAAGAGGTCAGCACTAGCAATTAAATGAGGTCACTCACAGACAGGTCTGAGGAGGGCGAGGCACATTACAGTAACCCCATAAATGGCTTGCCATATGCAGTTATATTCTAAGTTCCGCCATCCCAAAAGTTCGACCGAAATGACGTGTTAAGGCCATGAAAAAGCAAATTTTACTTACTTTCCCTTTAGTGGTTCCAAAATAAATTAGACGTGGATCTTTCAATGGAAACACATATTTTCCCATATACGAATAGGTTTGTGTTCGCTTTTATATTCCTTTTCATCGAAATGTTTACATTATTTAAAGAAAACGAGGAATGAACTGAACAGACATATCGGTAAGGTCTGGAAAACCTCTGCCGTACTACACAACATGTGGCCTTTCTCTGAGCCCTGTGGTTTTTAAGCATGCTCATGTATTACCTATAGAAGGAGTACGAAGACCTCAGAATAAATCCAACGAGCGCAAGAAAAAGGGGTGACTCAGGTGGGATGCGTTATCCGCGTCACAATATTCCACAAGGTGCGCAAAGTGGGACGCGTTACCGCGTCACGCTGTCGTCAACGTGTTAATAACAAGGTGAGCAGAATTTAAGGCAATAATCTAAGGATCATGCAAACCAAATCGGCAAATAAAGCAAGTGGATATCAGGAATATATTAGGGCTTTGTGGAAGTTCGTGCACATTTTTTGACCTCATGTCAGTATCTAGGGCGGAACTGCTGTAGTGGCAAGTGGCACACTCCCCACGCGAGCGGTCCGGATCAAATCCTGTGTGTAGTGAACTATCAATTAATGGTTTCTCGGCGGTCGCTTGAATAGCGCTCTCCTATCTCACCATCGCATTAATTCTTTGGCAACTCTCAAATGTGATAGGATAAATCCTCCCAACATAAGCGACAAGAAAAAGGACAGCTCTTCATCGCCCGATCTCGTCTGCAGTAAAGGCCATGCATCCGACCTCCACTCAAGTTGTAGAATCTACTGAACGAAATTACTATTGAATGGAATACATATGATAATGGGCTGTTGACAAAAACCGTATTGCCAACCTAAGGAACAGCTTCATTTCTCAAGGCCGTTTCCAAAACTTTTCCTTTTCCGAACGACCCTGATACTTTCGTTTGTCAGTGAAGTACTGACGCGAGGGAGCGGGCGGTAGAAGGAGGTGCCTTGTGCACTTGTGACCCTGTTCCTTGCAAAGATGCACTTTCATTCTTGAAGAACTATTCAAAATTTTCTTCTCGGCTCTTTTTCAGGGTGGGTCATGGAATATACGACCCCCCAGACCCATCCTGACAAATACGACCCCCCTCTGTCGAGGATTTCCTCGACCGATGTTCACCCGAATGAACGCTCGACGCACAGACGCACAAAAAGCTGGTGACTACGATAGTTCTACGAGCACGGGATCCCTGTCATGGCTTATCAGTTGTTTCAATTGGAATGAACTTGCTTTTTCTGCTAACAGCACGTAGGTTGACTTCGATAAATAATGGGAAATGGATGCCAATATCTCTTTTATACCAAGGTGAATATCGGTCGAGGAATTCCTCGACATGAAGGGTCGTACTTGCGAGGGTGGGTCATGGGGGTCACTCATTGGGATATGTCTATATGGAGAAGGGTGTAGCGCAGAGAAAACGGGTTATGTGAGAAAACATTGGGAAAATATTCTTTGCAAGTCCAGTCGCGCTCCTCTTTACTCACCGCCCCATATGTCAGAAGAGTGTTTGAAAGTATGTACAAGAATGAAAAGTGCATCTCCGCAATGTGTCACCTTGCGGCCACAGCATTCCTTTACCTAGGCCCGCTCTCTCGCTCTCAATACATCGTTGGAAAATGAGACAGTTGTTAGGGAGCTGTCGCAATCCGGCAAGAGTTCTGGAAAGAACCATGGGCGAATGAAGCTGTTCCTTAGGTTACGGAGATACGTAATGTCTATTTCTATAATACAGTTTCTGTTAACAGCTCAACCATATGTATAACACCTTTCAGTAGATTCTACAACTTGAGTAGGAGGTCGGATGCATGGCCTATACTGAGACGACATCGGACGATGACGATTGCCCTTTTTCTGTCGCGTTATCAAAGGGAGAATTATTCTAGACAGATTTCGAGCGCCGTCAACAAATACATTTGCAATGGTGAAGAAGAAGCAGCTTTTTCAGCGGCCGAAAATCATCCTCGATAAAATCCTCGACGCAAATATCTCCCCTACTAGAGAATGAAGAAGGAAGCCGATTAGACTCTCAGAAAGCGCAAGCCTTCCAATTTCCAAAACTGTCTTTGTTTCCTTAATATCTTGCAAAATTAGTAGATAATGCCTTTTATACGAAAACTCCGCTCGACAAAATTTGAGAGACCCTCTTCGAGTGTAAAGCTTTTAGATCAATTTCAATATTGCCCGGTAGTAGCAAATCCAGCTCTATCTAACCCTACCACATACTGCTCCAAAGGTTATGAAATGGGGGAATGGAACCTTTTCATCGAGAGTGTAGATTTCGACGGTTTCGAGCGGGGTTTCGGCAAATCTGACCCACGGATAAACCGCGCTGCAACTGAATGCTTTGCTGTACATTGATGGAACTCGCTTATTCACATCAAATCAAAGTTAGAGGGGTCGTATCAAGACCCCGATCTGAGGGGGGGGGTCGTACTGATCTGACCACGTCCTCGACACGATTTTCACCCTGCTTTATAGAGCTCTTCAAGGCTATCCTTCACTCTGATATCATGATGTGAAAGCGCTCACTGAAACATAAATAAATTGCCTGCAGTGTGAGCACAATGTCAATTTTGTGATATTCTTGAAAATTCCAGTATTAACGTAAGATTCGAAATACACGTATTTCAATGCAGGCTGGTATCGGGAATGCAACATTATTCCACATACAAAGGACGTCGATTTAGCTGCTCCAATCGAACAATACAAGCCAGAGCTTCTGAAAGATATTCTCAGTAAAAGGAAGTTCCTCCTCGAGCGAAAGCTTGGTAGAGTAAGTTTTTCACTAAAATTATGTAACAATCAATAATTATTTGCCGCCTCTTTCGTTCGCGAATATTATGATCCTACTATTTCTGGTAAACTTTCTATCTGAAGCTTCAAGAAGGAAAACAAAAGAAGTCAGGACAGAGATGCCAACCAAAGGCTTACACACTAGACAAACTTTTTGTGTCTTTTAATGCATATTATCACATTGCACTGTTGTTTTTGTATGATGCATGAACACGTTGACGCTCACCTGTTTCTGCGTATCGAGTAGCAGGAGAATGGGCGTGGTTTCGCGAGCGCCGCTGTCCGTTTTCGGGATCGAATCACGAACTCAATCACACAAGGCACATTTCTGGAGCTCAAAACCGTATGTTAGTCCATCAGATTTACAAAAATTTACAGTGCGCTTATAACCATGAACTTACGCTCAACTATGCGCTTCCAGAATAGGCTTATTTCGGGCTTTTATGGGAACTTCCAGCATTACATACAGATTCTTGAGCACGAATAGCCTCCGCACCCGAATTTCGGCAGCAGCACTATCTCCGTCGACAAGACCGTAATCGAAACCCCTTCAATTCTAGCAGTGAAGGAGGCTTGCTCGGGGGAGAGCCACGTCCAAACGAGTTTTCCGGATATGCCAGCCGTTCCATCGGTTGATACGGCAATCAACCTAGCTGATCTCACACGTTAGGCCAGCCACGCACCACATCCCGCGGTGGGCGGGACCAGCTGATGAAACGAACCCATCGCTGTAAGTAGTAGGCCAGAGGCCTTGACGGCGCGCAATCTCGAGTCAGGAGTGTGGCATCACCCCTCTGAGCGCATTCCTGGAAATATTAGTGATGGAAAGGCCTTCTATGGTCACCTAATCCTGACTCGTGGCTTTAAGGGGCCTCCGTGGATTACTAGGAACTACGTACGATGCTCCTCCTTATCTGCTACGTTCAAAATTCGAAGATCGCCTGCTAGAGCTACTGCTTACTCTGGTACGACGTTTATTCGCTCACTCTCTAGCAGCAATGCTCTGTTGGTATCATATTGGAACTGCAGGCTGGCACGACAGAACGCTAGATCCGTAAACGCACTGGTTATATTTGAGATACTTACATAAATGCCAGCAGATTCCTGTTGAAAGACGTAATTCACGTCGCTGGCTTCAACTGAAGTACTGTTTTGCCAAGGTTTTCTGATAATCCATGACGTCCATCTGTAGGTCGCTGTTGAAACTTTCAACACAACATCATTACAGAAAACAATGCAATTCATCACATCTCCTCCACCGTAATTACACGTGAGAAGTTGCACCGCCTATCTTCACGTAACACTGAGAGTGTTTGTGGTCGTGGAGACTGTCCACGGTAGCCTTATTGAATCAGGAATACCAACCAACATGAAGTTGTTATACTTACTTAGTTGTATGATGGTGTCGCGACGCAAGCCTACCATCACGCAATCTCTCTGTTTTTATTAGGTTGTTCGGAAAGTAATGCGGGTTTCGAGATGCCTTGCATACTTGGAATATTTTTATACTGAAACTTCCTTTGAGACCTGAAGCCCTATATATCATTGGCAAGCATATTCTATCTTCTTTCCTCCAGTATATTTGAATTTCAGTTTTACTTGTTATATTGGGGTTTTTTTATAGAGTTGAACTGAAGGTGTCAACACAGTGGTTTGGCAAGTTTTCTTCGATGTGCTAAAACTCTGACGTAGGCCCCACTGGACCTGTCAAGTAACATTGAAGGATGGGGCCAAAGAAGCACCTCCAGAAGCGCAGCACAGCCTTGGCTCCAAATTTCGGTTCAGAAGAATTCCATAGTGAAGTTGAGGGGAGTCATGAGCATGCCCTTGCTGTTGAGGACGGCCTTCTGAAGATTCCCGTAGAAGATGATTCCAGTCTAACTGTGCTATAGCAAGCAGTAGGACTAGAAGTAGGTATATTGAAAATATTGTGGCTCCTGAAGATAATTGAAGAGGTGAAAAAGCTGAACAGGTGACTTCCACATGGGCTGACTGAAGCAGCAGCAACACCGTCTCCCCAAGGAGTCGTTCCCACCAGTTACGTATCAAAAACTACTAGTATTCGGTATGCGTTGTCATCTACGACGGAAAATGGACTCTTCCGATTACAGAAAGCCATCTCTTCTAATAGTTTGACCGCGATGAATCTTCAAAACTTCTCCAAAGCCGAAATTATAGAAGATAAAGTTGAGCTCAACATTCGGCAGTCTTCCACGGGGCTGATCCAACCCAGCTCTTGGAAACCAGGTGGATTTAACACAACACCAATGTCTCTCCAGCATACCGATGAGATGCTCTAGAAACATCAAGTTCGTCAACCGAGAGAAGTAAACAAAGCCTCCTTCATGGTGGCGCTCAGCCACACGTCCCATAAACGACCTCGCAAGTATTGAACAAACTGGCGTACGAAGCTTCGATCCACACGTCTTGCTCACTGGACCTCTCCCTCACCAATACCCCCTTTTCCAACCATCTCGACAACTTCTTGAGTAAGAAATGCTTCAATGTTCAAACTGATGTGAAAATGATGCTCGACGATATCATCGCCTCCAGAAGCGCTGATTGTAATGTGGGAAGGACATCTGAGTGCGCATTTTGTTAAAAAGATTAGTACTTTCAAACACTTTTTGTACCGACAAAAAATGTTCAATTCGAGTGAAAATGAGAGCGCAGCGAATTTTCATTGTGATCCAGATAGGGTATAGGAGGTTGAGCGGGATTTGTTCACCTTTGGTGGTGCTCGATCGTCATAGTGGCACTCGATGTGCGAAGGTGGTTCGACATTGCAGACGGATCACACACCTCCGTCCATGGGAGCGACTACTTGAACGAGGATTTCACGATACGAACGATGGTCTAGGAAGGGATAATTGTCTAGTGGGTAGACAGGATATCTCCTGAAAGGGGCGAGCTAGACACGCGTAATTGGTTCAGCGAAAGATTTGCTCGGCGTATCTAGACATGGCTCACTAGGCAGGGATAGCCGAGTGGTTAAGAGGTTAGACTCATGTCTGCACCTCTGAAAAACCGCGAGTTCGATCCCTGCCGAGGCTCTAAACCATGCCTTGCAAAAATTGCAAAAATGGTTCTAGTACCAGCGTCAGGCCCAGGTTGACAGGCCGGCTGATGAATACCCCAGTCACACAACATGTCTAAAAGTCGTCAAAGAATCAGTGATAAAGCTAGGACGTCACCCGGAAGTGGCGCGCAGAACCCCCGCCCGAGTTCTGTGGTCAGTATGCGAGGGCTACCGAGGAGGGAACGGCCTCGGCCAAAGAAGCTAGTTTGAAACGGAACCTTGGAACTGTGAACGTAGGGTCGCTAACTGGAAGATCCTTTCCGAAAGAGTTCTTATTCTGATTACGCGCAGAAATATTTCAAGTCTATAGCTTTCTTCAGGAGACACGATCGAAAGTGAGAAAGGGCAAGGCCAGGGAAATCGGAGAAGGTGTCAAACTCTACTACAATGGGAAGACACCAAGCGGAATGGTGTGGCCATAGCGGTAGCGGAGTCGCTCAAGGACTATGTCTCCGCTGTGAACAGGATCAGCGATCGGATCATGGCTGTGAGGATAGACACGAAGGAGGGGTACTGGTCAATACTATCAGTGTACGCTCCGCAGACCGGATGCCCCGAGAGTGAGAAGGACGAGTTCTACCTAAGGCTTGACGAAGCCATCAGATCGATCCCGGAAAGCGATTACTTGACCATAGCAGGTGATCTGAATGGGCACGTCGGCAGCGACAGAAGAGGCCTGGAAAGGGTGCACGGAGGTAGAGGGATAGGAGTGAGGAACGCCGAGGGAGAGAGGGTTCTGGACCTGGCTACGGCCCACGACTCTGGCAGTCTGCAGCACGTTCTTCGCGAAAAGGGAAGTCTCAAAAGGTAACCTACAGCAGTGGAGGGAGACAGACGGAAATCGACCATGTACTGGTAAGAAGATCATCCCTCAAAACTGTGAAGGATATCAAGGTAATTCCTGGCGAAGAACTGGCTCCTCAGCACAGGCCCCTCCTGGCAGACATAGCCATAGACCTTCCCAAGAAGACAAGGGTAAGAACCGAGAGGAGAATCCGGTGGTGGAAGTTGCACCGAGCAGAGAAGAGCGACTCAAACGAAGGATAATGGAAGTTGGTCTCCCAGATCCAGAGGGACCAGTGTGCAGACTTGGGGCAGTGCAGCTGAGATCATCCTACGATGCGCCAAGGAGGTACTGGGCGAGACGCGAGGTGGATTCAGAGGAGACAAGGCAGCGTGGTTCTGGAACGAGGAGGTCCAGCGAGTCGTGAAGCAGAAGAAGGAGGCATACAAGCGCTGGCAGAAGACCCGGAGCCCAGAGGACCTCGCTGCCTACAGGAGTTGTGCAAGAGGCTCGCTAAGGCAGCCGTCGCCAAGGCGAAGAACACGGAAATGGACGCCTTGTACGAGAAGTTAGAGAGCCAAACGCAGAAAAGTTCGTCTTCAGACTGGCCAAAGCCCGGCATCGGGCTACCCAAGACATTAGGGTGGTGAAGAGCGTGAAGAGCAGTAACGGTGCCATCCTGAGGAAGCCAACTGAAGTCAGGAGGAGGTGGGAGGAGTACTACAAAGCGCTCCTGAACGAGGAGTTCCCCACAAAGACAGCTCAAGCAGAGGCGACGGCTGGCCCTATCTCACTATGGACAGAGGATGAGGTTCGTCAAGAACTAAGGAAGATGAAGGTTGGAAAGGCGGTGGGTCCAGATAAGGTGCCAATCGAGGCATGGAAGGCGCTCGGAGAGTACGGGATCAGATGGCTTACCCAATTCCTGAACACGGTAACCACCGAAGGAAGGATGCCGGATGCCTGGAGAACAAGCACTATCGTCCCCATCTTCAAGCAGAAGGGTGACGCGATGGACTGCTCCAACTACCGCGGGATCAAGTTGACTGCTCATACAATGAAGCTGTACGAGCGACTGGTCGACTCGAAACTGCGGGAGCTGGTCCCGATCTCCCAGGAACAGTTCGGGTTCATGCCTGAAAGGTCTACTACG